AGGAGGCGGTCCCGCTCAAGAAGGAGAAAACACATTTCACTGTCCGGCTGACGGAGCTGAAACCCGCTGATAAGGTGAAGCTGATCAAGGAGGTGAAGAACTTTGTCCCGGGAGTGAACCTCGTGCAGGTGAGGAGGGGCTGCCCCGTGGCCCCAGCCGCCCGCTGCGTCGCCCCCGAGCCCGGACGGGTTCTGAAGCACATTGCAAGCGGTGGCCTCGGTTCTCCATTCAAAAGGGTGCCTGGATTTCCGTGTCCAGCAGAACAGCCTGCCTGTGCACACACCTCAGTGCAAAGATGCGGGCGAGGTGTAGAGCGGGAGTTGGCCGTGTCAGTTTGTCTGGCGTTGCTTAGAGAAGGCTGGTCCCTCCCGGCTCTGCTGTGCGGAGAACTGCTGAGCCTCTAGCAGAAGCGGTGGGATGAAGGAGGAGGCTCAGAGCAAAGACCTCAAAGTCCTCCAAGTGCCAGCCTTGCCTTCTCCAAATCTAAGAGCTACTGTGGGCTTTCCTGCAGAACTCGGGAGTGGCCAGGATTCTTCCTTACAGCTGGATTTGGCTTGCCTCTCCCTTGGCTATTTCTGACTTTAGACAAGTTTCTCTAATCCACACGTCTTGCAATCCACGCTTCCAGTGCTTCTCAGCGCTCTTCTTTTTGTAGGTGATGCCTCAAAAAGGGGAGACGGGCCTCTCGCAGTCCTCCGCAGTGTCTGAGCTCATACCCTTGAGCGATGATGTAGGCTCAGAACAAAGAACGGGTGATACAGCTGCTACTGTGGAAGCATTTAACTTGCTTCAGTTCACCACTGGATGATGCTTTCGTATCTCAGGGATAATAGTAGCACTTTCTATTTATCCACTTGAAAGGAAGAAACGTTGAGCATTGTAAAATCTGCTCGTATTCATAGCCTGGGATATCAGAAGGATTTGCAGAAAATCTTCTGACCCGTTCATACCAATGTATTGCAAAGCAAACAATTCAGTAACAAACTCTAGTGGCAGAGACATGAGTTTCATTGGCCCACTGGGATAATTAACTGACTGTCTAGCTTGATTAGTCTGGTGCTTGTTTATCCGTTATCAGTCCCAAGCAAACATTAAAATACCTAAGCCCCGTAACGGACACGATCAGCGGGTAATTAAAAACCATCTGGAGAACTAATGCTAAACCAGCTTGGCTGAGCACAGAGAACCTGCCGAACAGGCTGGTTACAGTTCCAGTGTAGTTACAAGGTTAGGTGCAGGTTATGGCGGGTAAGCTTTGTCAAGCGTGACTTACCCAGCGTATTTTGGTTAAAACACGCACATACAAAACAAACTGCTGCTGAAGGTTGGTTCTGTCTACAGAGGTCGTATTCAAAGTGTAGCTGATGCGTTTTTATTGTCAATTTTATTGCCATCCAGTTGAGGCGTTTTTAATGAGACTTGCAGGGAATCTACTTATTCTTGGCCTGTAAGGCTGCTAATGATTTGGAAGAAAGCACTGCTAAGCAAATCTTTGGGTGTTGGGTGCTGATGTGACTTGAACAGGACAGTCCTACAGAAATGACTGCTTGGTGAGGCGGGTGCATCACCAGCACAAGCCAAACTCGAATCTGTTTGCACCTCTGAAAGCTTGTTCAGAGCCGGCCCGGCAGACGCTTACCTCGCATCTTCACCACGCCGGGCTGGCATCCCTGTACGCTGCGGCTGGGATTGGAAACGCATTGCCTCTCTGCCCAGCGGCCGTTACTGCGCAGGTCTGGCTTGGCTCGGGCCCTGCTCCTCCTCCCGCTGGGAGCTCTGAACGGCTGCTTCCTTTGAGCCAGGCTGCTTTAGAACAGAAGTTAAGCATTAGCGAGCAAGGACCTTAAATGAATAACCGTGATTGTGTTCCCTGCCCTCGTCACAGCAAGCCAGAACAGGCTCCTGTCCAGATGCTGTCCTGGGCTCTGGTGGGCGAAGGCGCGCCTGCCCTGCCGCACAGCTGCGCCTTCTCATCCCTACCAAAAGAAGTATTTTCTGCTGCCACAGACGCATTGTCTGCTGCACCCAACAGGAATTAAAACAACAAAACCTTCTTTCTGTCAGCAATGGTCAATCTGTTGGGTGCGAAATACGTGCAGTGCCATGCAGCAGAGAGCTGGCGGCAGCTCTTCCCCGCAGGAACCTCCCCGGGCTTCGCTTCTGAGGAGCCGAGTAGCTTTGTTGCTGCTGCTTGGTGTTGGAGCAAGAGCATCTGACTGCAGCAGGGGCTCACCCTCCCAGGCTCCCTTCCCTGTCTGCACAGCAGTACTATAGGAAGTCCCTTTAAATCAGTTGAACAGCTTTTCAGTTTGCCTTAAATATTGTGGTACTGCGTAGTACCAATAGTTTTGTATAAAAAGTCCTGAAAATACCAAGATTGTGTTGTCAAGCATAGTCTGTTCTGGAACTCTTCTTTTACCTGGTACAGCAGACTCTCTGTCTTGCCCAGCACAGCTGCGTACGAACCCTGAGATGGCCTCTCCTCCCCGCTGGCGGAAATATGTGAACCAAAACATTTGGCAGAAAAAAAATCAACCCAACGAGGCCGGTAGCTGCCTTGGCAGGTCGCTGCACGGTGGCTCGGTGTGCGTCCCAGGCACCTTCCCAGACCGGGGCTGCACCTCTGGGAGCACCATGCGCGTCGTGGGAGGAATGTACGGGCGATTACTCAGGGCTGTAGTGGATGTGCCGTCACTTGCAGCCAGGTTTGGATATCTTCCAGCAGGATGTGCTGTAGTTTAAGTAAAAGTCTTGGGTTTTAGACCAGTCACTGAGTTTCCCTGGTCTGCTTATGCTGAGGTCAGGCTCATGGCTCTAAATCTGTTAATCCAGTTAGCAAAAGCCAAGTTTACAAGTCTCGTACTTTGTCCTTCCCACAGGCAAAGAAGCTGGTGGAGTCCCTTCCGCAGGAGATCAAGGCTAACGCTTCCAAGGAGGAAGCAGAGAAGATCAAAGCAGCACTGGAGGCAGCAGGAGGGACTGTGGTTCTGGAGTAAACAGCCCTGTCTCACCACGGAGGGACTGGCACGACGGCAGCCTTCCCCGCTGCCGCCTGCCCGGGTGCTGGCCGCTGCCGGAACCGGGTTCCGGATGTTTCCGAGTGCGAGTTGTCCCCTAATCGTGCGGTGGGAATGCTCTCTCGAAGCGATCCGGTGCGAGAATGCCGTACCTTTTGGCGAGGCTGCTGCCTAGTTCTGACATCGCAATGAACTCTACCTTCATAAATGTCAAAAAAAAAAAAAAATCTCTAAAAATGGTTAACCTCTCAAAAATCA